ATATATCTTATATTTATTTAATAATAATATGCAAAACCAACTCTTCACATCAGATCCCTTATAACAAATTAATTCCTCAAATTTGGTATAATCGACCTAAATTATTTTGCAAAATAAAAGTCTCGAACTTACTAGTTCCATACTTTATTTTATAAAATAATTTATGTGGAAATCATTTAAAATTTAATTTAAAACTATTACCTACTCCTAAAAATTACAATTTGAATTTACCGCCATCTGTCAATTGTCATTTTATTTCCTGCTCCAAACTCAAGGTGGCGCTAATTTGGTTTAAAAGTTTAACATTGGCGTGGGGTCTCTAGAAGATACGTGCTTTGTGGTCCCACCCGCCTGAACTAAAGAAGAAAGATGCAATACTGTGTATCCAAATCTATTGTAGACTAATCTTGTACAGTAGGAAAAATAAAATTGTTCCCTGCTTGCCTAAAAATTGACATTCGCTTCGAATTGGCCAGAATGAACCTCTACGACTTGACCTATATAATATTTCAATGTTTTTTTTTGTGACAAATTTTACCAACACAAAATTGTTTTCTGGAACATCGGCAATGTCTATAATAACTGGATTTGTTTTAGTTCAAAGTATGAAATATCGTCGTCACTGTCTACCAGAACAACATTTGTCTCACTGTAACTAGATTCGCTTAAATCCCCCTTCTTTGTTTTCTTATATCTTATATTTTTTTATAGATGTCATTAGACTAAGGTTTAAGCTTAGTCTTCTTCAACTTTTCCTCATCTTCAAATCTGTTTATTTCTAGTGTAGCCATTAAAATTGCTGTTATCTTTCTCTTACGCTTATAGAACACCTTCGAAGGTTCCTTAGTAGCTTTTGGGTATGGTAGAATCATATCGGGAAGTACAGTCTGTTTTTTGGCAGTAGAGTTTCAACAAAATGTTGTAGTCTGAATTGAGGTGTCGGGGATAAGAGTTGTGTAGGTATTTGAAACGCTCATTTGACTACAATTGACCAAGGAATCATCAAGCCCAGTGATTTTTAAAGTCAATGGCAATGATGTACTAAACTCTCTTGTAACATGGTGGTTCATTGGGACATCGGTTACTTCAGCTGAGGAAAAGTCACAGTCTTGAAATATATTTTTGTCAAATGGGAATATTTCTGTCGAGTGTCGAGCTATAGCCTTGGTTTCTTTGAACACTCCGACGTGGTGAGCTGACAGTCCGTCGATCGCTGAAGACAGCGATTTTCGCCCAAAGTGGTTTGTTAAATATAGAAAATGAGACCTTCTCTATGTATTATGAATGTAAACGAAAGGTACTAAAATGGACGCAAATACATTGTTTGCGTTGTTATTATTGTTAAAAGAGAAATAACAAGAGGAACTGGCATTTGCAACCGACAAAGTTTCCAATAAGCCAGTGGATAAGTTGTTTTTGTGTCGCGATACAGAAGGTGTCTTTAATATCCGGAGGCTTTTTGGAAATGAAACCAAATTTAGAGAGTATTTTAGACTTTCTACGGATCTTTTTGAATTCGTGTTCAGTTTTATAAAGGACGACATTTCCCAGAAACCTTTAAATAGTCATAAAGTCATATGTATATGTGAATTTGTCACTTCTTGTTTTAAAAATAATAACAATATAATTATTTGTATTCACAAACTGTCTCCGCACACGTCGACGATTCCGCTGACGGTATGACGCCGTCCTGATCAGCCAAGCGGATTCAAGAAAACCATTCCCATTTAAATACTCTGGTTGTATAAAATCGTGAAAACGCGATGGTCGACAAACCATCCGCTAACCGCGACGGAGTGTTCAAAGAAACCAAAGCTTTAGTCATATTTTGTAATCCTTGGGTTTTCCATTAACCACGATCATAAACAAATTAATTTATTTTGACTACTATAAATGAGTTTTAAAATTTAATAACTATTGTTCATCACAAACAAATCAGTTGCATGTCATCACTGACACTAATTGCTGGTGAACACATTGTGTTTTGCAACAATGGTTATTTATGTATCAAGGGAATTATAAGGGCCTTAATTATCGATAGCAAAGTTTGCGACCCGAGGGCCTCTGGCCCGAGGGACAGCAATTGCCTGAGGTTATTGAGGCCCATTAATTCCCGTGGTACATAGATAATTTTATTTCTGACAGATTTCAATAAAATTTTGTTCATTTTTAAAACGGAAAAATGTACCAATTTATTACCATCCCGGTATATTTGAATTAGGTACCTTTGATTATAAGGTAGAGGGAATTATAGAATCTCTAGTGTCCAAAGGGAGTTATGACCCTCTTTATTGATAGCGTAACTATGACGATATAAGCTTATAATATCCCTGTCAGAAATAAAAATTGTTTGTCATTTACTATACCTACAAGCATCGTTGTAGTAGCGGTTGTAAGCGGTGGCTGGTATGTGGTGGTAATGTCAATAACAAAACGTCATTCTCTTTAGCCAATTTTACTGCCAAGATACTAATATGAGCTTCATGATTGTCCAAGATAAGCAGCACTAGAGAAGTTTTTGAAGCCTTTGAAAAAGTGATAGTGTTTTAGCCACTCTATAAACAATTATGCATTTATCCACCCTAATGGATTAGCAAATCCGAGAATTCCAGATAGAGCCCCTATGATTGTATAACGGTAACGGTAAAAAACCAAGTAGTTAGAGTTAGTAAAACTTTGGAAGCTAACAAGCGGGAATAACAATCGTCACTTGCGTTGACGCGACTTAACCAATTATTTTAAAGATAAGCGTTCATATGACTAATAATGATGTATGCTGTGGCGCTGATTGCGTAGAGTTTCAAGAGTCAAACATGCTTCAGATTTGTGTGTGTGATTAAATTTAGGTTTCCCTTGGCTACGGATACTAAGTCCATTTACCAGAAATGCTTCAGGGTTGGATTGTGTTCTTTGAGCCTAGATAGTGCTTGATAAAATTATATATTGTTTTCTGCTTTAATATATTGAATTATTGTTTTACGCTTACTTTAATATGTTGAATGTTTCAACAGACCTCTAGGATCATATTCAACTAAGTTGAATTTCTTGTAAATCCAACACTTTTGTCACCTTTCACCTTTTTCTGCTGCATCTATTGTTTTAGTTTATTTTATAAACAGGGGTGACACAAATTTAAGATTTAATTTTATAACAACTCATCTATAAGGAACATTACCTTTATTTTTGTATTAATTTTTAATTCAGATTCCTGTTTCCGTCAATGTCCAGCTGATTTTCAATTTCTTTAACAATGAGAGGTTGAATGGTGGTGTCTAACATTTCCAAGTAAGTATCGCCATTAAGATTGCCATTAATAAATAATGGCCCAATCACAGTGTCGCCTAAAATTCCCCCCCAGACATTTATTTTTTCTGGATACTGCGTGTGCCCTTCCCTGAAGAAATGCGGATTTTAGTCACTCCAATACCTGCAGTTGTGTTTGTTCACTGAACCGTTTAAATGGAACGTGCATTCGTCGCAAAAACAAATATTTTTTAGCAACTGGGGAGTAACACGTAACATTTCGATCATGTCCTCGCAAAATTGCATTCTTCGATCGGGGTCATCCTCCTGCAACTCCTGAAGAATTTGCATTTTGTACGGGTAAAACTTATGAAGTTTGAGTACCTGACGAACAGCTTCATGAGAAATTCCCGTTATCGCCGAAGCTTGGCGTAGAGACATTGTAGGATTCATAGCAAAATGTCCTAAAACTTCCACTTGTGCTGCTTCATTAAGTACTCTTTGATGGACCCTTTTTTTGTTTGCCACTGATCCTGTTTCTTCAAATTTAATAATCAGTTGTCTGATGTAAGTATGACTTACATTTTTTCCAGGAATTATTTCGTTAAATGCTGCAGCAATTCTTAAGGCACAACGATTTTCTGAACCATAAATAAACTCCATCTGAGTTCTTTCAGCCAAATTGTAGACCATGATGAACAGAAAATAAAAATTATACTCGTATTTCTTCAATTAGACAGTTCTGACTTTGCAGTACAACCTTGCACAAACGACTAAATTGTATACAAATATTGATAGTTAGGTACGTACCCGATAAATTCAATGCTATTTTTTATTCTCAGATAAGTGCTCCTAAATTTTAGAATGGAATTTCAAGTTTGTTTTGTTTACAAAAAAATGGAATGCATGTTGACCATCTTATGAAATAAAATATCATCTTAATAACAATAACGGAGTTTAAAAATTGTACTATCGTTTAGAAATAAATGGAATGCATTTTGAATTATCTGTTCAAATAAAGTACCATTTTAACAAAATACAGTTTATTTTATTCGAATTCATGTTTTTGTTACACCCTGTATTGAATAGAAAAAATTCTTGTACAGGTGAACACTACTAAATGAGACCTTTCATTTGAGGTATAACAAAAGGGGTAGTGTAATTTGACATTTTAAAGTTGGAGTGTGTCGCGCCTAAGGGGTGACTCACCCCTTTGCTGAAATATGGTGGTTCTAGTTCCCTAACTCTATAACATTTATGCCAAATGGCGTTTCTCCAACTTCTTTTATTTTGCAAGATATTCGCATTGAAAGTTTTCAAATTGACACCCTGTATAATATTATATATTACGCAAGTTTAACAACTTCGTGTTTTTCTTAATGCAATTTTTTTCGACACACTGTATACACAATGGAAAAATTACACAAGGGAATAAAAATAATAAATAATAAATATCACATTATAAAATTACATTATTTTAAGTGATTTTTAAATAATAGTCAATTAGATTTAATTGCTATTCAGAATTACAGAGTGCATGATCACAGATAATATTATATTTAGTGTAATAGTTTTCATAAAGCGGGACATTCTATATTATCCAAGTGAGAATAGGTCATGATAATTTTTGACGCGCATTTTTATTATTTCTGCTGAGCTGTGTTTATTTTCTGAAAATTAACATAGACCTCAACCCTTTTTACCATACAATGAGCTTTTGCATATTTTTAATTTTTTACGACATCAAACAAATTTACGTCCAGTAGAAAGTAACTCAAAATGGAAGCCAGTAAGGAGTTTAGTGAAATTCAACAATTTTTTAAAGACAAGACATGCCTGTTAACAGGTGCTACGGGATTTGTGGGAAAATTGGTTTTGGAAAAAATTTTGAGGACCCTACAAGTGAAACACCTGTATGTATTGTGTAGAGACAAACATGGTATATCTGCTGAAGATCGGTGTGCACAAATATTTGATTCAGTGGTAAGATATAGGGAGATAAATTAAATTTTTATTGCCACACATTTTTTTAACGAATGACGTACATAATTTTAATACCACGTTTTCTTTTCTGCCGGTCCTCAGCCGAGAAAAAGAAGTAGGATAAACAATTTCTTTTTATACTTATATAGTGCATACGGCGATTTGATACGAAGAACGTAAGCGCCATTTTGTCAATTTTATAGGAACGAGAAAAGTGTTAAAATAATTGTGCTTATGTTTCAAAAATCATCATTGATTATAATTAATATTGGCCACCGAAGGTTATTATAATAATATAAAGTTAAAAATAATACATATATACATATAGGGGAAAGTTCCGACTGGAGGGGGGGGGGGGTAGCCGGGACTAATTCCCGGGGCCCGGACTCAGATGGGGGTCCGGTAACTGAATTTTTTTGTTTTGTACGAGAAATCTGACAGAAGACAAGAGGGGAAGTTTTTGGTTGGGGAGGTTTTTTTTTATAAAACTCAATGTAAGTAGAGGACGAAAAGTTTTACCTTGAGGACCTTTTTTTTATCACGGGGCCCGATCTAGAGAATTCTCCTGGGGCCCGGCCTGGCTTTCGGCGGCCCTGGGAAAGTTGCCTATATTGGTCCAGTTTTCGCTTTTAGGGCTCTAACTTTAATAAAATAAATGAAAACTCTTTCAAATTTAGACACCAAATACTTTAATATGTTTTCCACTTCTAGTAATTTTTTCAGAATTTCTTGTTGAATAGTCTTTCATAGAAAAATTTAATCTGGAACCCTTGCAGCTGGTCCATTATAGAAAACTGGTTGCCTAAATTGAACCAGTGGGTTCCTATATTGAACCATTTAATTTAGTTACATAAAATTAAGTAGAACTTTAAGTATACAATAAATGAACTAAAGAAAATAATTTTTATTTAAAAACCAAAAGTCCAGAAACTAAAATATATCAAATGCACATTAAAAGAAGGCAAATCTTACCATAGACAATCAAAAATAACACAATAAAAGAACAAAATAAAAAACACAAACAAAGAACGACTAAAGTTAAGATCATTGAAATAATAATTTATTTTCAGAAACTAAGTAGGTAACGAAAATGATACAGTAAGACTAAAATAGGAACGCTTTTCTTTACTTAGAGCTAGGAACAAATATCGCAGAGAAAATTATCTCTTGACTATATGTTTACACATGATTCGTGCACCCACTCTTTGTACTTTAGGCACTGAATCAAAGTTAGCATTACCATTCTTTGACATTAATGCTTTTTTTCTTAGAACTGCTGAAATCAAATTTCACTTTGCGCTTGACAGTTTTCTTTTTTGAAATATCAGATGATGTCTGTTTAACTTCGAGGTCATCTTATGAGGGTGTGGATGTAATGACTTGTGCTTTTTGGATACTTCCAGTTGGTTTCACCTTCTTGTGATCAACAACTGGACTTTTTAATATTTGCTCTATAGATTCTCCTTTTTTTGTTGTGCATGGATCAACTTTAGCTGATGCAGTTGCTATTTGTTCCATAGCTGATCTTGATATCGATGTTAAAGTACTTTGATCTAGGAGATTCATTTCTTTTGTTGCAACTGGTCCTTTAATGTAGCGACTCAATGGCTCATCTTCATCACTGGATTCGGAACTACTTCCAGTATTATTATGTTCAACCATGTCTACACTTGTTTTTGGGATAAGTACTTCTGATGGTGCGAAATCAACATCGCTGAAAACATTACGGTCTACGCCAAATTCCCGTTTTCTTGAAACCATTCATAGCATAGGCGTTGAGCAACTTGGTATTGAGAAACTGTCAATCCGGGATTAGTCCTTTTCTCGTTTGCTTCAGTGTAATAGAGCCCCTATGACTTAAATACCGCTACGTCTAGGGATTGAAGCCGGTAGGTGGTATGTTCCGGAAGCTGTAACATAATCACTCCATTAATTCGTGCCAGATCTATTGCTTCAAGATTTTTCGAGTGAGTACTGTGGGCGTCTAAAAGAAGCAAAACTTTATTGGTCTTTGTTGGTTTAACTGCATTAATAGAAGATTTGAACCAGGCAACAAATAGTTCTTTGTTGATGTATTCGATGTCAGATATCTATACCAGGCAGTCAGGAGGTGCTCCAACTGTGAGATCTGCATTAACTCTTTTTCGCTTGAATATTATCATTGGTGCATCAAATTGACCGGCTGTACTGGAGCATACGACTATCGTGGTATTCACCTCACGTTCGCCGTTAACAACCGAACCTACTTGGCGCTTTCCCTTTAGGGCTAGAATTTTCTGGCACTTTTGGCAGCAGTTGAAAAACCAGACTCATCCACTTTGAAAAGTTTTGTTGCACTAAGCTGGAATTCATCGAGAATTTTCTCTGGGTAACATTTTCTCTATTAAATTCCTTGCACCGAGCTATGGAGGTAGATTCCGGTTGCCTAAATGAAAGGTTGGGATGCCTGCGCATAAATGCATAAAACCACTTTTTACCAGCCTGCCTTATTTCTCTATTGAAATTGTGTTTGATGTTTTTTTCTCCGCCAGTTCATACGATTCATTGCGGACATCTTTTATGGTGACGCCAGAAAACATCTTCTCTAGGTTAAGGATATGCTCCGCCAACCTCTCCTCAAACTCCGGTGAAAAGAAAGTGCTTCGTCTGAAGATTTTAGACTCTTGGTTAGCCACTCAATTTTTTGAGTTTAAATGTCGTTTAAACGTCGCTTTTGGGACACTGTACATGCGACATATTTCATTAAGACCATATTTTTTGCCCTTGTAAGCCTCTAAGGCTTTCGCCATATCCGCTTCATTCCATTTTCTATATTTTATGCATCTTCTATTATTGGAAGATATTCTGGAACACTATTGTATTTTGTTGTAGCACTTCATATTGACACAAATTCCAATATTTAAATACATAAACATAACAAGTAATTCTAGTTTCCTAAACTGGACCAGTCCAATTTAGGCAACACTGTCGTGGTTCAATTTAGGAAACAGCCAGTTATTTTCTAAAATCACATATTTAACATTCCAATGTATTGGGGTTCGATCTTTTTAATAGCGATATTATTAGGGTAAAACTAGTTTTAATAAAAATAGCAACACTAAGTGAATTCCCAACATTTGCTACACAAACACGAATTATTTACACAAAGCACATCGAAATAGCAAAAACCGCCAAACACGTTGTAAAGAGGCAAAATGTACATTAACGGCGGCGAATTCTCTTGTAATAACAACTTTGAAACAAGAGTCAAAGATCATTTCAAAAATGTCGCTACCGTCGCGCTTGTTCATTCAAATATGGTGATGGTCCAATTTAGGAGACGGTTCAATATACGCAACCTTCCCCTTCGCAAAAAAAATATTACTTTTGACACAAAAGTCATATTTATGCTTACGCCTACGTCTTTTTGTAAAATGACTTGGTGTTAAGTCTAATTATGTGGTACTTACGTATTTGTTTATAACTACAAACGTGACCAAACCTGGCGTTTAAACCACGCTTTTGCGTCCGTCGGACAACAGCACTAAGTCGCATACGCGCAAGCCAATTTATGTTATCTTTTAATAATTCAGAGCTTCATAAATAACTAAATAAGTAATGTAAAATAACATTAATGAAGAAAAATATCGGATTGTAACGGGATCTCATTGTTTAGCTGTAAAGAAGTTGTAGGCATTGGTCAGAATACTAATAAAGGATAACTAGCGTTTATTGAAAATAAAATTGATACAACAAGAACTGACTTAATATTCAAAGTGACATTTTCGGTATCTAACACAACAAAGACGTATCACAAATATATCGTTGCCACATCGTTGCCCTAATAAGAATAGTGCCTAACTCCACTTTTTTACATAAATGTGATTTTGCTACCACCTATTAGAATAACGTCTAAGCCACCTTCTGACAAAACTTCAGAGTGTCAACTAAACCAGTTCATTTTAAATTTAAATAAGATAAATTTTGCATATCCCGACTTGAGATTTCCAAAAAGAAATGCCTAGCTACACACTTTTGTTTACAAGATTAACGCGTGGGAATTATTTTTTTACATTCAAAGTTTTGTGTGTTAGATGTGAAGAAGAACAAGTAAAAATGAAATAATGTAGTTATTAAAAAATAACGGTTTTTCTTCTCTCCTGTAAAATTATCCAAAGCAGAGATAGGAATTTTTCTTATTAAGGTACCATTTCGGTAGGCGCGACAGACGACCGCCGACGCGACATACTACCGCCGACGCGACCGAGAAGTGTCGCTTCACATCTAAAATACATACAATTATATGAAACACATTTCGCACGGCGCGACACGAGAAGTGTCGTCAAGACGACACTTCCTGGAGACACTTCTGAATCTGCCTCGGGGAAAAGGTTTGCTGCATGTCGCACTCGGGGTCACTGTCCTCGAGCATCGGTTCATTTTGAGGGTGATTAGGATGGAAATTTCTTTCGATCTAGGCAGCGTTGCCAGATTTTGGAACAGTATGGGTAAAAAAAACCCAAATTAGAAAGTAAACAAAGAATAAAAACAAATAAAAACATGTTTATTATATACTTAATGTACGGGAAAAAACCAATGAAAAATAATAAGTACCTACTTCTTTTAGATCAGTTTGAATCGGATAATTCAAAATCGTAGTGTTTGGCATATGCATGTTCTTTTTATGATGCCATATTAATTCTTTGTTTCATTTTAAATAAAAACAATGATTATCTTGATGTTTTTTTTTTATGGAGCCAACCTACAGTAGTGGATGCTTATTAGGCTGCTTTTACTGCAGAAAATTTACTAGAGAAAATATTCTTTAACCATTTGCTGAAGAATGAGGCAAACTTAATATATAATTAAACTGATTTTTATTTAACCTGAAAAATTGTCTGAATTTGTCTTCGTTTAGAGCTAAATGAGTGTTAATTAACACAGAATAAATTCCTTCTGTACTTCTATTTTTATACATTGAATTCATTGGTCGCCTTTTTTATATAAAAAATACAACACGTTGTCATCATCCTCTTCCTCCTCGAGCAACATTTTTAATATTCGTCTTTTGATCATTTTTTTAGAAATAACTCCTAATAATATGTTTCCACAAAAAACACTCTCTCCGAACTGAATAATGATACAAGTTCTATCGATCTGTCGGCCAGAGTTGCCAGATGAAAATTAGCGAAAAAAAAAAAAACAATAGATCATTGAATCTTAACATTAGATTTTAGTACAGGTGGAAATAATTATAATTTACAGGGTAGTAAATAAAAAAAAAAAACAAATAATTAAATAAGAAACGAAAAATAAATTTTTATTATATACTTAACATCAGGAAACAAAAAAAAAACTAATGAAAAATAATAGGTATTTCTTTCAGATCAGTCTGAATCAAATAATTCAAATACGTACATGCATATTCTTTTTATGTTGTCCTATTAATTCTTTGTTGCAGTTTAAATAAAAACAAACCTACAATAGTGGCTGCTTATTACGCTGCTTTAACTGCAGAAAATTTACTACAGAAAATATTTTTTAACCATTTGTTGAAAAATGAGACAAACTTAATAAATTATGAACAAAATTTGCTAGAGACAAAAACAGTAGATCTACGTGAAAACAGTAGGTCTGGCAACGCTGATTGTTCCCTCGAAGGTTATCCCTGTAAATGTCGCGCGACACTTCTCAAGCTTGCGAAATGTACGAAGCGTAACGTTTATGCATCTGTCTTCCTACTCGACCTTGGGGTCGCTTCAGTGGTCGCTTGTCTCCTGACGCGCCTACCCAAATGGTACCTTTAGGGCGACGATATTGTGCATGGCCACAATATAACATTAACATTTTTGTAAATCCTAAATGTCTGATTCTTTCTTCAACCTTAAGAGACTTCTAGGCTTTTAAAAACAGGGACGCGGAAGTGCTTTCTTTAAAATACCTGCTTTCTGCTCATGGACAGAAACGTATTCTAGAAGTACCACACCTTCTTCCAATTTTTCGCGTACAGAATGATATTGTACATTGTATATGTTTCGTGCGACTATGGTACTCTGAATTGCGAATTAATTTTATTGCACTTTGATTGCCTACTTTCAATAGCGTTGGTTTTTCTACATTTTCCAATATGTCCTCCAAAAGTTTTTGTAAGTAAACTGCTTCTTTTGTTGCTTGAGCTGCAGCAATATATTCAGTTTCAGTGATACTGAAGTAAGCAACTTTTGTGTTTTTAGAAAAATGGAAAAAAGTTAATTTCGGGCAGTGATTAAACACTATTATTTGAAAGGGAAAACGGCGAAAGAGACAAAAGAAAAGCTCGATAAACATTACGGTGAGTCGCAACAATACCATCAATAGGAAGTCCAAAAGAGGTGGTTACTGAAGAAAATATCAAGAAAATCCTCGATATCGTTATGAATGATCGCCGAGTCAAGTTACGTGAAATTATTGAAATGGTAAACATATATGAACGTGTGTTCAACATTTTGCATGAAAATTTGCATATGAAAAAGTTATCGGCAAGATGGGTGCCGCGTTTGCTCAGTGTCGAACGAAAACGAGTTTGACAGACCACTTCACAGCGGTGTTTGGACATGATAATGCGTAATCCTGTTGATTTTTGGCGTCGATTAATAACTGTTGATGAAACGTGGGTCCACCACTACACACCTGAAACCAAAAATCAATCGAAACAATGGGTGGAAGTGCTCCGAAAAAGGCGAAGACAGTGAAATCGGCTGGCAAGGTTATGGCCACTGTATTTTGGGATGCACATGGAATATTGCTCATCGAATATCTTGAAAGAGGATACACAATCACAGGAAAGTATTATCGTGCATTATTGGATCAATTGATTGATGCAATCAAGAAAAAACGACCACATTTAAAGAAGAAAAAAGTGCTCTTTCTTCAAGACAACGCACCGGTTCACACAGCATTAGATACGATGCTAAAATTACGTGAAATATACTTCGAATTGGTTGATCATCCACCTTATAATTCAGATTTAGCTAGTGACTTTTTCCTGTTTCCAAACTTGAAAAAATGGCTCGCAGGAAAAAGATTCATCTCAAACGAAGAAGTGATTACCGAAACTAACGTGTATTTTGAGGGGTTCCCAAAATAGTATTTTTCAGATAGTATAAAAAAGTTGGAATATCGTCTTACTAAGTGTATTGAGCTAAAAGGAGACTATGTTGATAAATAAATGGCTTTTGAAAAAAAATAATTTTTTTTTCCTACTTAGGTAGCTTCAATATCAATCCGCCCTCGTATCTTGTTTATATATCTTGTTGAGCCTAGATTTGGAAGGTAGGAAAGTCTGCCCTTTTCGTTAGTGTGATCAACGGTTCTGTTTACAATACGAAAACAGTAAAATTAGGTTCTACTGGAAGGACAAAATGTCCCTCTGTTAGGATACTGTAGCATTTATAAGTAAAATGTTACCTAAACCGAATAAGTTATAAAAACGTATATTTTTTGATGTTTTGAAAACAATAAATTCTAAGCTTACTTTTAAATCAAACCGTTCATTTTACATTTTAGGCGTTTGGACCATTAAAGCGAATCAATCCAGATTTTTTTAAGAAGGTGTCTCTCATTCAAGGTGATTTGGGAAAACCTAATTTAGGTTTATCCGACGGTGACAGAAAATTAATTGTGAGAGAAGTCGAATGTATTTTTCATTGTGCAGCAGCATCCAAACTAGATGAAAATTTTTTAAATGCAACAAATGTAAATGTTAGAGGAACTAAAGGATTGGTGGAAATAGCTCGTGAAATTAAAGATCTGAAGGTAAGTTACTACTAAAATTATTTGAAACTAGAAGTACAAGGTATTTATTTTCTTTTTAAGGTATTTATATTGTTTGTTCAACCTTGGATATAGACTTCCCTCAATCCACCTTCCCCGTTATTTGCATTATGCGTGATAAATCCAGGCATTTTTGAATCTAGTAATTTTATAAACAGTAATCGGTTTACTGGCGGCGGAAAGTAGAACTTAACAGTATCCACTTTTCAAGTCCAAACTTGAGATGTATTGGGCGGTTTTCAGTTTATCTAAGATAGCGTTCATATACGGTAGCGGATACGTATCTTTTATAGTCACCTCGTCGACTTTTCAGAAATCTATACAGAATCGGTGTTTTCCGTATTTCTTTTTGACTATCACCACGGGTGAACTCCATGGACTTGCTGAGGGCTCTACTACCCCTTCATCCAGCATTCTATCCACTTCTTCATTGATGATGATCTGCATTTTCGGATTCTGTGACCGGTATCTCTGTTTAATCGGGTCAGGTGTAACGAGACGGATATCGTGTTGCATTAAATGGGTCGGTCCCCTTAAATCCTCAAAAGCGGGTAATTCTTCCTCCAGAAACCGGGTTAGTTTTCGGTTCTGTTTGGCGCTCACTTCTCGGGACTGATGATGCGGTGCTACAGTTAGCAATTCACGAGCGTTGTCTACTGTGGCTCTTTCCCTTTACTCCTCTAGCCAGTTTTCACCGGATTCAGCAGACTTAATCTTTTCCCAATTCGTAGCTCTAGACCTGGCGTGTTTATCCACCTTAATAGTCTTTGGGGTTACTACGGTTGTGGAGACGGAACGGTTAGGGCGGACTCTTCTGGTTGACGTTTGGACCAGCGGTCAGTCAGATTGAAGTCTTCTGGCGTGAGTTCTGCATGAATCTGTGCCTCGGTTACTAAAGTCTTAGCATTAGCGATATCCTGATTCAACATGCCGATCGGGTGGCATGAGGCGGTTCTCTTTAGGGTTCCTAAGGGTGTGTCACCCAAGGAAATCTTCCCGGTTTCTAGATTCCTAGCTCTAAACGGATGTCGGAAAGTGGGTTATACTTTACGTGACGGATTGGGTTCCCAAGTTCATAGTTACGGCATCTATTTTGTATTTGGATTAGAGTTCCATTGGCTAACCTAGCAGTTGTTAGAAATGCTCTCTTGAGTTGCCTTTTCTGAGAAAAGTGATCAGCTACTTGGTTACTGATGTATGACCTGGAAGCATCAGTATTTATCAAAGATAAGAAATGTTCACCTAGTATTTCCAATATTAGGTGCGGACGAATGTCTCCCTCGGGTATTATAATACTGTCTTAAGAGGCTAACAGCGGCTGAAACTGCTGGATCCTCCCTGCCGTGCCGTTTACGGTTCGTTTCCCGACTGTCTACAAGAACAATCTTTTGACAATACTTCGGTTTTTAAGCATCTCGAACAAAATATCTTAACGGGGTTGTTGTAATACGTGCGTAAGTGTCTTTTTTCGCCACATCTCCAACACAATACTTCTCCACGGGAAGTAGAGACGGCTGTGGTTCATATCGTGGCGGTGGCAGATGGACGTGTACGGGTTCAAATACGGGTACTTAAGAACCCTAACCCGGCCTAACAGGAAAGGGAAGGGAATCAACTCAAAAAAAATATAAACAACTTGGAAATACCACGGATTTCTACTGGTTTCACTCGGTTTTCGTTACCCACAACTGAATAAATTTACATAAATAATCTAATTACTTATCGGAAAAGTCTACAATGGAAAGCAAAAGTGATTTTGAAATTATATCGGAATTAAAACATGATCGGAGCTCGGACTACCTACGTCTGAAATCAACTAGTGGCCAACAGCTAAAATTAGGGATGTTGCGATACTACTGATAATATCAGTCATAATGATCTGGTATCGATACTTTTCTTTCGATACCGGGTAATTTAGTACCCGATACTTTGCTTCGATACTTTACTCATGAGTACTACTTTTATTTCGATACTACTACTTTCGTTTCAATATTTTACTAGTTTTGACCTTACAATACGAACAAAAAGTATATTGTAGGATCACTTTATGGTATGATATGTCGGCGTACCCTATGACTTTTTGTTGTTGTTCTGTATTCTTCCCGATATCGGTATCGATACTTTCGTTACGATACCCTTTCGATACCGGTATCGATACTTTGGTTCCGAGACATCCCTAGCTAAAATGGAATGAATTTTCGCGATATTCTATCGGCTCACCTACTCCGGTTTTCGCGTCGATTTCAAATGCGCGAGGACGGTAGTGGGGACGCGATGAGTTTACAGCAATATGAGATTTAACATGAAATCGATAATTATTTTCAAATCGCGGAAATTTCGAAAATTAATAATTTAAAAATCGGGGAACTTTAAGAACAAGGGTTGATCCAGATAATTAAAAATAGGAATGAATTTTTAGTTCATTACAGATTTCTTTACATAGTTAAAAAAAAGTATAAAGTTAGGATTTTATCCTGTATAGTCATCGGCAGGTATTGCGAATTTTGTATAATAAAAAAGATTCCGGAATTTAATTAAATGTCAATCTTTTATTCTCCTATTATTGATGCTTTTACTAAACATTCAATCATTTTGTATTTTAATTTTTAGACAATCGTTGTACTCTCATCAGCGTATTCAAACTTCCCATTATATGAAATTCACGAGCAGTTTTATGAACCGAAAATAACTGCTGAAAAATTGTTGAAACTAACTGAAAATATCAGTGAAGAAGAAGTTAAGAATCTTGAACAAGAGTGAGTATAGAAAATAGTTATAGTTACCTAGTGTTGATTGAACATTAAGAGAGTAAAATATTTAAGCCTCAAGGTAGTAAAAGTGGCACTTCAGTTCCTAAAATGAGGAAGTAAAATTCATGTGAGGAGGTCGTTTTAAACTGCCACCTTGAGAATATTTCTGTGCTAGGTTTTAAAAATGTATCAAAGGCGCAAACTAATACAAAATTAGATAAAAAGTATCCCCTTTCTATCTAGTAGGGATGGTCCCATATATAAATTTGGCCAAGATCTAATGATGGGGTCCATGAGAAAATCCTCAAACTCTTAATTTTTTATGTATTTTCAGCAATAATTATTTACCACGTTATCGATTTCTATTATTCTTTTTTTTTTGTTAGAAAGGGGATACTAAAAAAAAAAAACCAATTGAGAGACAGTTAAAATATATAATATATCTACCTATACATTTTCAGGTTATTGGATGGATGGCCTAACGCATATACATTCAGTTTGAGTGTAGCTGAAGATTATTTAAAAAAGGAGGCAAAAAGTCTACCCCTGAGTTTAATTCGTCCTTCACTGCGTATGTATTTTTTTTGCCTCATAAATTTATACATAGATTTCACTAATTATAACTAAATACGGATCCACAAAAGTGTTTACTAAATTAGGCGATTACCGACAAAGACAGAAATACGAGTTATGTCCGTGATAACTACGCACGGTTCTGAATTAAAGCCAAACTTACACTTAAAAAGAAGAAGAATTATACGTTTGACATGCATTTTTAAGGAAATACTTTGAAAATATATTTTGTGGATTACTACAGATATTTTACTAGAGAGTATATGGGTGATTCTCGCCTAACTGTGATTTTTACAACTTAGATTTTTCTAAAATTAAAAGTGTTTCAAAACGTATGTTTTACGCGTTTTTGTTTTCTATTTATGCATAGAAATAAGCCTGTAAAGTGGTTCTACTGCAGCTACGACAAAACGAAAACTGTGACAAAATTTAAAAATTTTAATGCCACGGTACTGACATTATTTCCACGGTACTGACATATAAATGATTATTTTTTTTACCAATCCAAAGATTGGTATAAAATTGCAATAAAATTCAATGCAGTATGCATTAGATTGTAGTTATAAGAGGTAAATTTTATATTAAAAAATGAATTTTGATATTTAATTTTAAAAATGAGAATAGGACATGCCACGGTACTGACATTTCGAGTATATTTATATGCAGCTTAAAAAAAATTACGAAGGTTTATGATCTAATTCATAATGTCGGTTGTAAAATACCTCTAAATTTATAATATTATTAACTTTTTGATGAGGAAAACTTATGCTAAACGATAAATAAAACACTGGACATAAAAAATCACAGTTAGGCGAGAATCACCCATATAAGAATGAGATCATCTTATCAGGGGAAAACCGCTTCCACAGTTATTTCAACAATAAATTTTCTTAATTTAATAAATAAAGAATAAATCAAACATCAAATAGGTAATGCGACTAGTTCAGACCTATTAGGTCATCGGTCACGTTCAAGCAAAAAATGGTTCAAATGGCGATGCATATGAAAAAAAAAACAATATTCTGTTTAGTGCAGATTTTTTCTTTATTTTTATATTTACTACAATATCAAATTACATAAAATACATTTTAAATCACAAAAATAAAAAAATTATTCAGTAAAGGATTAAATACGAACCTTCTTCGTCCTTTTATAATTGTATCTTCTCATGACAATAGAACTGCTAACGGGTGACAGGTTTTCCATAAATCCATTTTACTGGATCGAGTTATTAAATTTTCTAATGTTCTTATCTGAGTCGTTAACCACTGGCCAAAATTTGTAAACCTAATTCCCACAATTCCTATAATAAACTCATCCAATTCTTCAACAGTTCGCCAATTTCATTAATTCTCCGGCAATTTCGTACCAATTCCTCGAAATTCTTCTAGATTCCTTAAATTTCTTAAATCTTGTAAATTCCTCGTAATTTTTCAGCCTTATATTACCTAATTCCCTCTGCGGTTTACCCTTCAAAATTTTCTGAATCAATTTCGAAAGAGTGATCCACAAAAAAGGTTTCTAAAGTAGGCCATAGCCGACAAATATCGAGAAACGAGTCATGTTCGTGATAACCATGCGCGACTCTAATTCAAATCCAAACCGACATTTAAAAGAAGAAAAATTGTACGCTCGACATACGTGATTATTTCCAAGGTCTACTTTAGAAATATTTTTTTTATTTATCACTCCTTATTTTACTTTGATATTCTGTAATTCTTTTTAGTTCTACCTTCCGCTGAAGAACCAGTAACTGGATTTGTTGATAATATTAACGGATTGTATGGTGATACTGTGACATATGCATTGGGGATTAACAGAGTAAATTATTACAACAGTGGAACACTAGATGCAGTTCCAGTTGATTACGTCGTTAATTTGATTATCGCCTCAGGATGGTACGCTGGACTGCAAAAGTAAGTTAAGGAAATTAAGAACAGTATACAGGTTGGTTCCTCTTTTTAATTGTGTATAGAAGTTGTTAAAATAAACATCTTTTTAAAATAACTTGTTTAAAAAAATTCAAACATCAAAAATCTAAATTGTGTATTAAAAGTAATGCTAATTATTAAGCCGATTTGTTTTTATGCTTTTTTTCGCTTTTTCTTATGAATCATGATGTGTACGGGTTATTTTAAATGCATCTTACTTCAGTAGTGTATTTATCTGAAGTACCTAGTGATTTTCAGTATGTCAAAAATGAAAGGCATTTGGAAAAACACATTTTATGTTAATACTCAAATTTCAAAATTATGGTTAATTTTACTGCACAAAATTATAATATAACCAACCTCTTTATTTCTGTTAAATTCCTTATAAAAAAACATAAAACTCGCACATTTAAACACACAACTTTTGTCAATTACCTAAACATCATTTTTTGAATACCATTTTGCACCATATTGCACCCGTTAATTGTGGACAAATCAATTTATTTAAACTATTAAATGAAATTGTATTAATATAATATAAAAAAATATTTATAAAATGTTTATTAAACACTTTTAGGTTATTACCTACTCCAAATAAGTTTATTGTGTCTTTTTCATACAAAATTATTCAAAAAATATTCTTTTTAAATGCCATTCATCCTTTTAAATTATATCTATTAAATTTTGAGTTTCCATACTCAAACGACTTTGTTTCAGGCAAAACCTGCGGACATGTGATTTTATTAATCGGTTTGTTTTCATGATTTTTTCAAATACGTTCTCGTGGAAACTAAAAATTTAATCGTTAAAATTTGAAGGACTCGTGGTATTATCTTCACAATGGATAAAACCCTTTTGCTGCTATTTGATTAATAAACGATAATCATCCTCCATGAATTTTATTTTATCGATAATCATGTCTGGATATTCATTGGTGAATTCAAACAAAATAAATAGAAATAAACAGAAATAAAATTATAAAATTTTTTAAAAAGTACAAACATGTTTTTAACATCCTTCTTCTAAAATTCAAACATTATATTGTTTCAGAATCCGCATGAAAAGAGGTGATGCTTATACGGCTCTTGCTAATATTTACAACTGCATAAGTTCTCAAGAAAAACCAATAACCACTGGTAAGTAGGTATCTTGGTAGAAAAACTAAAAATGAAATACGGTAGGCAACTAAAGTTTCTAAAGTTACTCTTTCTCAAAGTACTGGGACACTTTTTAAATGCAAAAGGTGTTTTAAAAAACATGTTTCTGTACGAAGATAACATGAATAATTTTTAGCCCAAAAAAGAAAATACAGAGTCAAATATCCTTTTATTTTTCGACATAGTCTCCTTGTCGCTCATTACACTTCGTCCAATGAAATTTAATACACTTTATGCCTCTCCTATAAGCCGATTCTTCCGGATCTTTTAAATGGGCGTTTTTACTGCCAATAAAATCCCAATTGGACCCATATTATTTCTTGTCAGCGTAATTTTTTTTAGTTTGGTAATAAACTGAAGCTAGAGGGGCCAAGTATGCCGTGTAGAGTGCTTAGGGCAATAAACAAAGCCCACTTCATTAATATTAGGGATCTCAATACAATGTGAATAAGACTACAAAAAGTGGACACAATAGGTTTGTTCGGGTTTCTTTAAAACTCGATGCAAACCGTCCGAGAACCAGTGGAACAGTTGAATTCCAAACTATTCGTCGCGTACATCTATTAAACTGTCCACTGGTCAACTAGTTCTCTGATAGTTCTAAAGGTATTTTTGAAGAACCCGAACAGACCTAATGAGCGCTGCTATTGCTGAATTCGGGCAGCATACTCCGAGTACGCACTCTGCCGCATTCAAATCACACTTGTCAAGAGACTCGCGATAACTCTATTGCATTTAAATAGGGCGAACAGAGTGCATGGAGTAAATTATTCTACACCACCTCGGTAAGACAGTACTAAGGAGCAAGCTTTCGTAGTTATCAATACCCGGTCGTTGTTTTACGCTTTATCAATATGTATTCTTTTTCTTTTCCTCCATGTTTTATATGTGCAGGTTTTATTTTATTTTTCGTTGAAATTTGGAATTATTATGGAATTATCTACACAATAGGGGCCATGTGGTTTCGGTAATATTTTGTTTTTCCTCATCATCGTCATAATCATTTTTACTGTAATTTTTAACTCTAATCCGAGTTTTTAATCCGAACTCAGCATATATTGCCTTTCCAAGTGTTCACTGAACAGAACCATTCTGTTTCAAATGTGTCATAAAATAAAATTTCAGCATTTCATTATTTAAAAAAAATATATCTTACTTTTTACTTTAAGACAAGACACGAGATATTAGTATGTAGTTTGAAAACATATTTTCTGGTGTTCTAAAGTTTCCATATAGTTAAATAATATTAAGAGATCAAACATTTTTCAATTCAATTCAAAATCTTTATTTACATATTTACAGTTATTAATGATAGATTGTTTCACAATTTTTAACAGGTATTTAGACGATATATTAAATATATATTAATATATCTATAATATCTTGTTGCTTGTGTCCTTTTCTGTGTCCTGTGTTCTTTTTTGGTTCCGTCTTCCATACTCCTTGTCCTTGGACATTATTATGGCAATGTGACAAACTTGGGTTATCAATATTTGAGTATAGTTGGACTTTTGTCTGATTTTAGTTCTGTAATTGTCCCTAAAAAAGTAGTTTAAAAAACATTTTTGATTTTTGATTTTTGATAATAAACAATTTTATTAAAGGTGAAAAAAGAAAGTGAATGGTCCTTTTTTTTAAATAAATGTTCAGTTCGTTTCACTTCTTTTAAAAAGATTGTAATTCCGTTTTATCCCTAGTGGATAAGAGATCATGGAGAGTTTTTTTTTGTTTTTTTTTTATATTATATTTTGCAGCCATTTCTATATTTTTTTACCATTTTTTTGTGGTGATTGCTGTTCCAACATTTTTTTCAATTTTTTCATTTTTTTCATTCAGTTAGTACATTAATTTAATTAATTTCTTTTAGTATGAATAAATAAATAAATATTAGTGGTGTTAGTGGATTAGTTTTGTTAACTTCTCTTAAATTTAATCAATATTACATAATTTTTTCATCTTGCTAAAAATTTAAAATTCACCAATTCTCCTTTTTTCTCTTACCTACTAGGCGTGTCTGAAGATGAAGTGATTACACCTCGAAACTGGTCGCTGTTTAAATATAAATCTTTGTGAGATAAAAAGAACTGATTGCTTTCTTTTTCTATATTTAATCCAAACAACTCACGCATAGCTACCCCAAGATTGAATAAACAATTTTAGATCACTCTCTGCCTATAACAACCCTTCCAATCGTATCTTCCAAGGAAGTGTAGGATTTGGAGTAGCTTCAAGTTAGGTAATTTGCACTCTTCTATTTGGTATGTACAGTATCCTTGGAATCTAGAGTGCTACACATTCAGTCAGAATGTGAATGGTGGTTTCGTCCTCCTCCTCACATAGTCTGTACTCACTATGTTCTACTACTCTCAGTTTATTATGGTGTCCTTTTAGTCGGCAATGATCGGTAAGAATTACTGTTACAATAATCTTGCTCAAACAGATACAGGTTGTATTTACTCAGAAGTATATTAGCCTGTCCCAAGAGATTTTTCCAATTATCCACCAAATGCCCAATTGCCTGGGCATTTATAAAAACGTTTAGGGTGCCTGGTTCTAGGCCCATGTGCCCCTACGCCAGTTCCTTTTGTGGTTTTGGAATCGTCTGTATTACCAGTGAATTTGCATGCCTTACGTGTGTCTTTTTTTCCACCGGTTTGTTGCAACCGTTGTTTCACCGATGCGGCCTTGAACGTTTTGTGTTGGATTCTGGTTGACCGTTGAAATAAATAACTGTTGACATACCGCACCGATGCCAACGTTGCTGCAACAGTTGGATAAAAAGACACACGTCTTTCTCTAGAAAACACGATGGATTACACAAGTCAACACATTTTTTTTTTGGGGTCTCTGTTCTTATGCTTGAATTTTTGTTCTAGACATTTTTAGCTTTTAAAGTTTGCTTTTGTCTGATTTACGTCGATAAGTAAGTTTTAAAGTTTCTAATTCATTTTATGAGCAACAGATGGTAGCACTTTGATTAGTATTTACTCGTTTATCACAGCTGCCACAACCGCCTTTGTGTATTACTCAGTTAGAAAATGGCATCAAGACACTGTAAACAGGATGTTGGCTCATTCTATTTTATTTGCTGTGAATTTGTTAAAGTAACTTTGGCAACATATTTGAATCGTTGCGAAGCTTATGAAGCCTATTTTAACCTTAAAGTCCGGAATCAAGATTAAAAATGGATATCTCGTGTTTATTCCAAAAATACTTTAGTAGGAAAAAACTAAAATTTTAACTTTTAAAAAATATCAAATATATTAATATTCTATATTAGTATTTATTTATTTTTTATGCATAAAACTAAATTACACTAGTTGTTTTTGTTATTAATATCGAGGGAAAAATTGACACATAAAGTTTGCAGTACCAAGACTTTCGAGGGAAACTAGTGATCATGTGCAAGACTGTTATTTTTGTATCGTTAATCCAAGTAAGAGTCGAGTGGTGAAAATGCTGAATAGATTCCTTCAACGTCCTCTCCAACATCTCATGGTGAAAAATTTCCTATCCCATCTCGTTCAGTATTAGATAACTTTGGAAATCAATCACCGCTTACTAACACCGATGTTAGTGAATGCATCGCAGAGTTTTGGACCACATTTCATCAGTTCAACAGAATTCATTATTTTAGTACGAGACTTAAACTTACCCAAAAACAAAGCAGATATTTTGGGTTCAAGATTAAAAGAATGGAATTTGCTTGAAGATGATGGTAAAATAACTGATCAAAGAGAGCATCATAAAATATTTTCGTGTTTTTTACCAAGTAAGCCAAAAATTTGTTATTGTAATAGCGTGACTGATTTATTCAAGGAAATCGGAATACTATGCATACTTTCTGATTGGCGGCTATTTATCGATAGCTTTTCTAGAAGCTTAAAAGCAGTTCTTGTTTTTAACAACAGTAACCAATTCCCTAGTCTTTCCTTAGCAGTTTCTGCAATGCTTAAGGAGAGTTACGATAGTGTGAAAATGATACTGGAAAAGTTAAAATTTGCAAAATACAATTGGCCGGTAATAGGCGATTTTGATGGTAATGCAAGGTGGTATACTAAGTAACCTTGTCACCTTTACTTATGGGATAGCAGAGCAGATTTATTACATAATGATCAACGTATATGGCCTGATAGAGTCGAATTTTTTTGCAGAATTGTACTTCTTTCTCATTTCGTTCTGGGACATATTACATACTCATTATTACTTCATTGATCATTCTAGATCTTGTCCTCCTCTGCTGCCTTAGAACAGGTTCTTATGTATTAAGAAAAATGATAGTTAAAAATAAATGATATACCTAGCTTGTTTAAATTCTAATATTTGTAATATTTCAAATTAAAATTATATTAATTTAATAATTTAACGTTTATGTAGTTTTTCTTTAAATGGTCGTAGAAACAATGTACTGTATAACTCAAGTGGATTTTCCATATCACACTCGAAACGATTGAGGCATCCTAACCACACTTGTTAAACAAACTATTTGGTCAATGTTTTAGTATAACATCAAGTTGATATTTTAAAATTAAAAGTTTTTTAGATGAATGGACTGGCGTTATACATACAGTATTGAGAGAAGTTCCTTCTTCAAAGATGATTCAGTTGCCAACACAATTTAACACTTCTTGTTATTACAACTACAAATTTTTGACTTTATTGTTGCATACTTTCATGGCCTTTTTATGTGACACCGGATTAAAACTTGCTGGGAAAACACCTTCGTAAGTAAACAACCATTGAAAATAACATTGTATCATTGTATTTAGATAAGATAGTAGAACAACCTTATGGACGTTTCATTGGAGGAAATTCTGTCACGACATCTGTTAAAACAAGTACAGAAGTATAGAATTCTATATACACAAAGATTTTTTAATTTTTAAATTCATTTGGGTAGATTGCCAAATTTAAATTAATATTATTTCTAAAATGATGATAAATCGTAAATAAATGTTCATCAAGAATAATTAAACTAGTTTATCTCATTTTTAAAACAAATATTCCAAATCGACTATCGGTCCATCTATTAGTAAATAGAGAGAAGAGAGTTTTATTTACACTATTTACAAATAAAATATTTACATCTACATTTATTGTTATACGACGTCGTAAGATCGTTGCCTCTGTCCTCCGGCGTAGCAGGAGAAGTATGGGCGACGTCTCGTCCCGTAATCACAGATGCAGAATGTTTATAATTTGAGTTTTATGTGCCATCTCCTTATTGCTAATAATATTATATGGCATTTTTGATTATTTAGTATGCGTCGGTAATTGAACTTAACTCATGGAAGATTTCTCTTTTGTTAGTTATGTTTAGTTTCCCTGAAAAAGCGTAGAAAAAACAGGGTTGTCCTTGTGTTTGTCTGGTTGTCCGTATAGTTTATGACTATTCTGTGCAAATCCATGAACTACACGATGTTATCGTCCATCGTTGCAGCGAAAAATTTCGCTGTTTCGATTTTCGACTCACCGTGCAGTCCACCGTCCGACCAGATTTTACGGCTAGTCGGCTTGGATTTGCACATTTAGTAATTTTGTCACAGGGAAAGGTCTGCGTTTGTCTGCGTGTGTTTTATGTTCAAAATTGTCTGTATATTGTCAGTACTTTATGGAGGCACCCATGCTTTCTATGTGCACTATTTCCTGCATTAATGTTGAGTATGTCTTCCTTAACGTTAGCAGGAAGACTATTTTGATAGAACCTTTCGGTTATATTGAGAATGAACGTTTTTATAGTAGGCATGGATGTCTCTCTGTGTATGTCTGTTATCCTGGAATAGCGGAGCCATCCCAGTGCCTGCCTCAGACAACTGTTTTGTACTACTTGCAATTTATTTAAATGACTTATTATCCCTGCTAACTCCGCTGTTACGCTTTGTTAGTGGGTATAATGCTCTTATTGCATGTTTGGCCTTTGTTACCCGGTCCTCGACATGATGTTTGAAAATTAATCCCCTATCCAGGTGCACCCCAAGATATTTGACAGTATGCTTCGTTTCGATCGCCTGATCCTTGATTTTAAATTTATTTAATATTTTGGAGGTTCTTCCTCTTTTTTTGGTAAGAATCATGCTCTCGGTTTTTGAAGCATTCAGTCGCATCTTGTTTGCCTCTAGGTAGGGGATCAATGTCCTGTTGATATGTATATCAAGCCTTCTGTTTGCGATTTCGGCAAGTTCTGAAGTTTTGTACACACAGGTGTCGTCGGCGTACAGTGCCGTCTGTACACCATTAGTACCCATTGGCATGTCATGAGTCATAATCGTGTACAGATGCGGCGAAAGTACCGAACCCTGGGGTACCCCCGCTATTGCATTGTATGGTCCTGTTAGTGTTTTGTTGACTTTAATGTAAAACGTTCTGTCCTGTAAGTAGAATTGAATCGTTTTTACAATGTAAATAGGAAATTCATTTATAAACATTTTGTATATAAGCCCACAGGTCCAGACGGTATCGAATGCCTTTTCCGTGTCCAAGGCTACGAGGACAGTTTGTTTATTGTCGTTGAAAGATTCTTTGGCTTGGTGCGCGATTCTGATAACTTGGGCGATAGTCCCATGACCTTCGCGGAAACCGTACTGTTCCTGTGGGATTATTTGTTTGTCTTGTTCTATTACATGTAGTTTGTTCAGTATTATTATGTCTATTGTTTTTGTCAGTGTGTTGAGTAGCGAAATGGGGCGGTAACTCTCTATATTCTTATTGTTTTTCCCTTTTTTGTGAATTGGGATAATGTTAGCTATTTTGAGTTTATTAGGGTAGTACTGAGTTTTGAGGATCGCATTAATGATATAGTGAAGCTGTACAATTGTTTTCCTTGTAAGATTTTTAAGCATTAGCCCCGTGATTTGATCCGGCCCCGGTGCTTTCTTTTTGTTAATGCGATCGATTGCAGCTTTTACGTCGCTGGGTTTGATCAATTGATTGGTCGGCACGATTTGTGAAGGGAGGAGCCTGATATCGTTGACCACGCCCTCTATAAATTGTTGCTCGTCGTTATTTTCGATATTGTTTGTGAAATTATTCTCAAAATATGTACCGAACGCCTCCCCTTTCTGAGTGTCTGTTGTGTATTGTGTGTTATTGTCTTCCAGTGTGGGAAACTGCGTAAACGGTTTCTTAAGCCGTTTTGTCATCTTCCACACTGAATTGTCTTGTGGTTTGAGGCCTCGTAATGTGTCCGTCCATTTTTCGTTTTTTAAGTCACGTGTCTGTGTCTTTGCCATCTTCTCCGAATGTTGTTTTTGTTCGTGATCATGTCTTCTATTTCCGGTGTTAGTATTTCTTGATGTGCTTTAATGTGTTTTATACGTGTGGAGGCGTCTCTGGCCTTTATAATGGCGTTTGTTAATTTGTCCACTTCTACGTCCAGTTCAGTAGGTGTATTAATGTTGTTATTTATTACTATGTCTTTGTCCAGTATTTCTCTGTATTTCGTCCAGTTTGTTGTTTTGTGATCGTAGTACTGTCCGTTATGTTTTTGTATAGTCCTTCTTGTTCCTATTTCTAGGCAGATAGGGTCATGGTCTGAATTTAATGTGGGTATGGTCCTGAAATTCTGTACGCTGTCTATGTTTTTCGTTATCGCTATGTCTAGAGTACTAGGTGTTTGTCCGGAGAAAGGGAAGCACGTTGGTACATCTGTATAGTGTATAGTATATCGGTTTGTTTCAGCGAATAAGCTTAGTGTGTTACCATTGGCGTTGTTTTTATTGCAGTTTGCATCCCATTCCGTGTTTTTTGCATTAAAATCCCCTATTATTATTACTTTATTCCCTCTGGCCAAATTATGCAAGTCAATATTATTGAATTTATATAGCGGCTTGTTATATACCCCTACAAAGGTTATACCCCCTACTTTTATGATTGCATGTTCTATGTCCGATAGAACGTTTGATACGGTTTCATATGAAATATTTTGTTTAATAAGGAAAGCCACGCCCCCTTTCGGTAGGTCTAGTCTGTCTTGTCTGTATATGTCGTAGTCGCGCACTTTTATTTTGTGATGTGGTTTTAAATGAGTTTCTATGAGAATTACTATGTCGAATTTATGTTTATAAATGAAGTTGCATACAAGATGTTTCTTGTTTAGCAGCCCGTTTACATTGTAAGAACAGATTTTGTATTTGTCTCGTAATACCGCAGCGAATTTAATTCCTGAATTTATACGTATTTAGATTGTTCATAAAATTGTTGTAAGTTAAGAAAATAGACGCGTCGCTGCGGCATTCCCTAAGTTGTGAGTTAAGCTCCCTTACCGCTCTTGTTAACTCTGCTATGTTCACTAATGAATTTAGTTCTTGCATCTCGTGATTTAGGGCAAAGAAGTCGCCCGTACCTCCCTGGGTGCCTTGTGGTTGTGAATTTGCCCTAGGGGGTTGATTTCTGTTTTCTTGGCTCTGCTGCTGTGACAATGGTAGGTCTGCTTTGTTGCCCGGCAAGAGAGGGAACTCTGTGTTATAATTGCTGTTGGCCTCCCTCCTGCTTTCCCACCTATTTTTCGTAGGTAGGGGTGCAGGTACGTATGTTTTCTTGGTATTGTTGTTATTGGTTTTTTGTTTTCTTTCCTCGAGTCGGGCCACCCTGTCAATGTAAGCTTTGCATTTCGTGAAGTTGGCTGGGTGGTCCCCTCCACAGTTGTAACAAGTTGCGGGTGTTTCCCGTGATTTGGCGCACGTTCTTGTGTGGTGCCCTGCTGCGCATTTTAGGCAGTTTGACGGCCTACCGCAATTTGATGTGGCATGCCCCCATGCCTGGCAGTTGTGGCACTGTATTATCTGCTTAGTTGATCTCCTAAGCTCCCAGGTTATTCTTGTGTACAGTACCACTCTAACATTGCGATTTAAGTAGTCAAGTGTGATGGAAGGGTCTGTTACTACCAGGAATAGGGGTCTGTTCTTGGTAGTCATGCGGTAGGCTGCTCTTATTTTAATTTCATAGGTCTCCATCAGGTCCTCTTCGAGGTCCTCTATTTTAGTACCGTCTCCCAGTCCTCTGAGGACGAAGGCATGTGACTTGTCGCTTTTGCTGGTATATGTATGGTATTAGTAAATAGAGAAATTACATTTGTTATTCAGTTTCGACAACCGTTCGATGGCTCGGTAGAAGACGCCAAAATTATCAAAGACATGACTTGGACATCACGGGGATTGCTGCCATCTATTGATACTGTCCATTGTCCTCCAATATAATTTGCATTGGTATTGTTCTTCTAGTTGATCTAAATACAATGTTTATACAAATGAAGATCTATTGATTGCAAATATTATTAATGATTTTTAATATTTTTAGTATAATGAATATGTACGAGAAGGTCCATAGAACTCAAGAACTCTTTGCTCCCTACTTTCTAAAACAATGGTACTTCTCTAACGATAACACGCAAAAACTAATAAAACGGATGTCATTCAAAGATAGAGTCCTCTTCAAATTTGATATTATAGAGCTCAACTGGCAAACGTACTTTGATAACTATGCAAGAGGAATTAGAGTATATCTCTTGAAGGATCCGATGTCAACTTTGACTGAAGGAAGAGAACGGCAACATCGCAAACTTGTGTCCCAATTGGTGTCAGCTGCTGTAGTTGTTGTAGTGCTTTATGTAATTAGCAAATTTTTGCTCTTTAGAGTTCTTTTTAGATAGAGATTTACATGAAAAGATTGTACACAAATAAAATAAACAAAGTTTTTAATAAAAGCTTTCATAAAATATAAATAATTTGTTTTTCTTTCTCCTATTTATTGTCAGAATTAATGATTAAAATGTAAAAATCGATTTTTCTGATTTGTAACTCAGAATAAGAGAAAATAATTTGATTTACAACAGACCAAAATAGACTTTTCTTAAGTCAGCAAAAAATGTCTTGGTATAGTAGACAGGGAAATTGGGCAACATTATTTGAAGTGTCTAAACTTTGCTTAAGCAGTCATAAAATCCTCACAAAATCAACTATCTAGGACTCGTTGAAATAAAAGGAGATTTACAGGAGCGTAATCCGAATTTATTACAATTATTCTCTAAAGTCGGATAAATGCTTTTTGAAAATTACCGAAATTATAAGAAAAAAGAAACAAATATTTATTAAGTAGGCAAGCCTAATATGCAATACTTAAAAATTAATTTATTACTGTAAATATACATTTTTATTTATCAGGATAAAGCCAAGTAAAGATAATTTTGGGTATTTTTAAATAAAAATAAAAAACTAAATTCAATACATATTTCTTTACTACTAGATTCGGCTCTGTATCAAAATAAATTTTTAAATGAATATTTGTTACTCGATCTATTTATTAATTGAAAACTGATGTTATCAATTTAATTACTTAATTTATGTTATTTTTTTATTCAATTAATCATCATCTAAAATTAATTACAGAATTATTTACATACCTACTAATTATGCAAATAACAATAAATTAAAAAATCTCATTTTGTTATGTGGAATCAAAAATTATAGTATTTTTCTATCAATATAGTAGTTATGTATCTTAGGGCTCACTAGACCCGCTGTGCATCCTCCAAAGCTAATAGGTACCTACCTCCTAGCTCGTGAGCCAGCCTACAGATTGTATATAGTAGCCAACTCTCGCTGAACACAAATCTCTTCTAATTTACAGCGTCGTGCAATATGCTTATTGGTCTCATCTTCTTGAAGAGTGCGAATTCTGACAGCCCCATGTTTTAGAGATGCTGCCGTACTCGGCAAACACTAGCCAGAATGCCTATGATCAGGCGCAGATTCTGACTACATAGTCAACTATTGGTTTGCTGTAGTGTTGTCAGGATAATTTAAAGGCTTCCAGGCAACTCTGCAGCTTCTTGTTTTATTCCATTTTTCTTGAATTTCACAAGGAAATTTTTTTTAATTAGGTTTGTTACTACCGATGTTGTCAGTTCAATAAAAGGGACAGGTCCAAAAAGTTTTTGGTTGGCTGCCTTCTTGTCTAGTGAATCAGTAAGAAGGTTGTTACCTTTCGATGTAGCGTAACCTTGGATCCATCTTTAGGTGACCACATAGTTGATGGATACTTCAGCCGAAGCTTCGTAACATATTAGTCCCTGAGTAAAATTGTGGTCTGTCCAGGGTGAGCAGTGCTTGTCTGCTATCTGTATGGAAGAGCATGTTCCTTTCAATGATATTGTTTCTGGCAACTTCTTTTGCTGCTATAAGATTCGCTGTGAGTTTGGTTTGAACTACACTGGCACTATTTATCATAGTTCATTTTATGTAGAGGGTTTAAATATCTGGAGTATATTCCACATCCTCGGCCCTGTATGTTTTTTGAACCGTCGCGTCGGTGTAGATATGAATCGTATCTGCCACGTCCGGCTCTTCTATTTGTTCTGTTATGACTTCATACGGCTCATGGATGATATAGGAGGTCCATGGTCCATGGTCGCTTAAAGCAGTAGCAGCGCCTCCTACCAAAAGCGCCTCACCAGATTCTACATCAGGTTTTATTCTAACTATGCGAAATCCTATCATTGTCACCAGTACAACCTCCTTGATGTAAATAACAAGGGGAATGATACTAATAATGACTCTGGTGAATTTTTCATGATTCCTGCTATGTTGAGACATGCGGCTCTTTGAATTTATTCTACTTTGCGGATAGCTGTTAATTTTTGGGTTTTCGGTACTTAAACAACTGCACCGTATGTTAGCATCTCCTTTGATGATGGTGTAAGTCCATGCGAGGACTCTAAGGGGTATAATTTACAATTCGATAGCATTTTTCGTAAGCAATGTATTCTTTTTTACTCTGTTTTCTAGGTGTAAGTTCCATGTTAATTTCCTGTTAAATCGGAAGGTTTGCGGCCCCCTAACTCTTCCAATTTATTCTCTTTACTAATTCTGTGACGTTGTATGAGAGTTTGTTTTAGTTGAGTACATATGACTTCATTTGTTTTTGATTTTGTCCCAAACAATTATTATAACTTTTTGTGGCAATAAAGCTACAACATGTTCGTATTTGGTCGATTCGCGAGATATTCCCTTAAGATTGAATTTTGCCTAGGCCTGCAGAAACCAAGCTTCGATTTGTTTAGATATTTTAACCCCTACGATTTCGATTTCTGAATCTGACATAGCTCTGTATGTAAAAAAACTATTTTTCGAAATTTATAGGTGATTTACTTCTTATGGGAAATACTTGCCAAGGTTCTGCTTCTGCAGTCGGAGCTTGGAGTTAACTGGCTGGAAGGTGGTGATTGCCTTTGTTGCGGACCGCTGCTGGGTAAAAAATTTGCACTATTGTGACAGGCTTCTGGTTCACCTACAGTGAATCAGGAAGTCTGTGTCTTAGATGGTGATTCCCGAATAGGGGTTTCTCAGGCACCAGTTTTGGTATCACAGTTTGCTCTGCGACCCTGTAGAACACCAGAGTGTACTCAAGGTAAACTCAGTGGAGTTAAAAATATTTCCAGGCGGTCACTGCTAACTAGGTAACCACTAAACTAGAATAAATAAAAATAAAACACATCTTCTTTACACCTCGTACCCTGAAAGAGAACGGTTAAGAACCAGCAATAAGAGAAACGCAGTAATAGATAATAAAATATATATTTACAGAAAAATACATCGGTGGTAGTGCACGATTTTGGCATTGCTGTAAACGGAAAATTAAATAAATTGAATTACAATTGAATGAGATTACACGAAAATAATTACGGTTCCCTATATACAGAAAATAATTAAAAATAAATTATTACAATTGAAAGCTAGTTAAATAATTATGGTTCCTTGTATACGGAAAATTTATTAAAAATAAATTATTACAATTGAAAACTAGTTAAATATTCATGGTTCCCTGTATACAATTGAAAACTAGTTAAATATTTATAGTTCCCTGTATTCGGAAAATTTATTAAAAATTAATTATTACAATTGAAAACTAAAAAAAAAAAAAAATATATAGGGAAATAATTGCGGTTCGATAGCACAGGAGGCTAATCGGTCCGGAAATTGTGAAACTCCCTGTATACGAAAATTAATTTTAAAAATAAATTAATACAATTGAAAACTAAAAAAAAAACTATAGGGAATAATTGCGGTTCGATAGCACAGGAGGCTAATCGGTCCGGGAATTATGAAACTCCCTGTATACGGAAAATTAATTTTTAGCAATAAAAATTGAATAAATATGACGGTAATAAAATGTAAGAAAATAAATGAAATCAAAGTTTTCGGAACCCCCTTGTATCTTAGTTCCGAGTAATCGACGCTGGAAATTTTTGTCGAACGAGAATATGATTTACGCGATGTTTGGACGAAGAATGCGACGGTTAAAGCAAAGACTATTTTGAGATTTGCCCAAGCCGATCAATTAATTATGATAGAAAACGTCGGGCTTCGTTCTATAATTAGTTGTTGACGGGAAACGGAATGATTCAAATCGGGTGAAAAGACAAATGGATAAAAAAATGATTAGGTATAAATAAGGTTAGTATTTAAATATTAGTCTTAGCTATTTTTCCAGGCCTTCTGGCTGTTAACCATGAGTTGAATTTCCAGTTGTTTTAAACTCAAAGACATGGACTGGTTGGATTCCTCCACTAGCTTTATTTGGTGTCTTTAAGTAATTCGGTGTCTACTAGATATAGTAAAATCAAAAAGAAAACTTCAGATTGAAATTTGAATGGAAACGAGATTGAAAATCAGCATAAGAGTCAAAGTGAAAGTCTGCATAAGAGGCCTAAAAATATGTTGCCAAAATTAGAACGATAAAATGTTTCATATTTTTTTTATAGGGGTTATTCCTTAAAAACTCACCTTGGATGATGGGTGGCCATAAAGGGGCTTCAATTGAAGTAAGTTAATATAAAAAAGGTTGAAAACTCTAAATATTCGGAACTTTTGTCCACAATGTTGAAATTATTGTTTCGTATTAACACAAAATCTTTTAGTTCACTAAATATAAGGTTTTTCGAAGAAAATCCGCAAAATGCGGACACGCTTCTTTCTCAGAAAATGTACTTAATGCAAAAAAGGAATAATTATTTTTAAATATTTGAGTTTTTCTACTTAACTGTATAGAATTTCTTCCAATTTCGTATATTGTTTGTTCACAAACTGCATATAGTTATTATTTATCAGCATATATTTTGTTTTAGGTATTTGTGATGATTTTTAACAAATGATTGTAACATCATTTATAAACATTTTGCAGAGTTTCATTGACAATTAACTCTTACTAAGTTATCTGAATCCTTACAACTTAGAAGAAACATAGATAAGGACATCATAGGCAAACAGGTAAATATCATATTGATTATTGCGACATCAACAATCATTAATATAAATTAAAAATAACAGGGGACCTAATTTTCTTCCTTTGATGTGGTTAATTTCTTCTGATCAGGACAGCGATTCTTTTGTGCGAACTCGACATATTACATACAGAATAGAGAGAGACATTACATTAAAATCGCTGTCTCTCGAACGAAGATAGGAGTCTCGATTGGAGACTTACTGAAAGATGAAAATCCCACTGCATATGTTATTTAATTTTAACCTCTCTGACCTGATACTTAGATAATCTACATGCTACTCCAATGCATGCTTTATAGCATAGATATAAAAAGCCACCTTTATACCCATACTTTTTAATTATTTTATCGAATGGTTTCGATCAACAGAATCAAATGCATTTTAAAGAAATACAATTAATTTTTAATTGTACATATGGCGGGTTGTACAATAGGCAGTTAAA